GTATAAAATGTTTTCTTAAAGTTCTCAGTTTCATTGGTGAAGAAAAAGACACGCTTTTTGGTTAACAGATCTTTATGCATCTAATGTTCTTGTTTTAAGCAGCACATTAAAATTCCTTTGAGAGGACCAGCAGGTAGTACAGAGGTTGAGGTGCTGAATCCCACATGGATGGCTGAGTTGTTTTTGGGTCCTGGACTGGCTTAAGAAACATGGGCAGGTGGCGTGTGTGTCCAAAGTCCTTTGAGGAGAATGGAGAAGGGATTGTAATGTGGCCATATCCCCGGGAAGTGACTTCTTACTTACTTTTCCTTTCTCTCTCTCTTTCTGGTGAGTGCACATGCCCTATAGCAAACAAACAAATAAAAATTTCTTTTGAAAATCTTAGGGTCTACTTAATTTGGGGCCAGTATTGCCACCATACAATGGTCATTATCTACCTGCTATAGCTTTCTGTAAACATATGTTTTGAGAGAAAAGGAGAACCAAAAAATGATCAGTATAAATATATTTCAGTGCTTGATGTGTTATTTTCAATATTTGCATTCAGAAGGAAAGCATGCATTCTTTTTCACTGTTTATCTGCATGTCATTTTTTCTTCTGGGTCATTTTAAGATCAATGTAACCGGGAACCAGCAGTTAGCGTAATGGCTATGTCGCTGGACTCCCACGTAGTCGACCGCGGTTCGCGTCCCGAACCCGGTGGCTTAAAACTCACGCCAGGTGCGTGTGTGTGCATGCCCAAGATCCCGAGAGGAGAATGGAGGAGAAGGGATTGCGGCGTGACCATCCCCCCTGGGGGATGATTTCTCGCTTTCTGTCTCTCTGTCTCTCTCTGTCTGTCTGGCGAGCGCATGCTCCCTATAGCGAAAACCTCTCCAAAAAAAAAAAAAAAGATCAATGTAAGGTATTAAGCAATATATCACGAATGATACAACAACAGTGAAAGATCTAATTTTGGGGCCGGCAGGTGGCTTGGTGGTTAAGGGTGCTAGACTCCAATATGGCCAACTGCAGTTCGAGTCCCTGACCTGGCGGCTTGCTTTCTCTCTCTGTCTCTCTCTCTCTTTCTCATTTTATCCCTCTCTGGTCAAATTGAAATAAATAAATGGGGACCAGCAGTTGGCATAATGGTTATGTCGCTGGACTCCCATGTAATTGACCACAGTTCGAGTCCCGGACCCAGTGGCTTAAACTCACGCCAGGCGCATGTGCGAGCGTGCCCAAGATCCTGAGAGGAGAATGGAGAAGAAGGGATTGTGGTGTGGCCATCCCTCCAGGAGGGTGATTTCTCTCTTCCTTTCTCTGTCTTTTTGGCGAGCGCATGCACCCTATAGCAAAAGCTTCTCCAAAAACAAAAACAAAAAAAAGTAAGAAAGAAATGAATGAATAAAGTTAAATAAAATAATTTTTAAAAAGAATGATCTAATTTCATCTTTGTCATTAATTGGCTATAGCCTTAATTTAGTCAAATCACACTTCTTTACGTTTTCATCATTAAAAGGAGAAGATAAAGTTAGTGGACTTCTAAGAAGACCTCTTCCAGATCACATAGTTCTTATTTGTGTGATTGTGATTCTATGTGTGGTTACAGGCAGAAAAATTATGTACCTCTTCACAAATGTATCAATGAACCATATACAGAAGGAAGTTGTGAACTGTATGTTCATGTAGGCATTAAACTTAAAAAGCACATGAGGAAAGGATAACTTCAGGAGGGAAGATGTGAGTGTGGATTCAAAGAACCCTCAACATGAGTAGTAGTGAAGAGAAACAAGGTCAATTGGAGGGCCTCCATCTTCTCAGAGAATTGAGTAAATGAGGTCATTGATTGTGAAAACTCTTGTGGGTTTGAAATTTAAAGTCTCTTCAAAGTTTAAAGAATATTTTTGGGTTTTTTTGGAAAGGTTTGTAGTGTTTTTGTTTGCTTTTTATTTATTTTTTTGATTATAGAGTATATGCGCTAGTGAGAGAGAGAGAGAAAGAGAGACAGAAGGTGAGAAGTCACCTCCTAGGGGAATGGCCATGCCACAGTCCTTTCTCTTCCAGTTTCCTCTCAGGATTTTGAGCATGCACACACATGTACTGGGTGATTCTCAAGCCGCCAGGTCCAGGACTCAAACTGGGCAGACAACCATGTGGGATGCAGCACCTTAACCTCCACACCACCTGCTGGCTCCTTAAAGAAAAGTTTTGAATCAGCCAATGTGGGACTTTTTCCATGAACTCAGGTATGAATGAATAAAGGGCTTGAACCGAACACCATCTTTACTTTTGTCCAGAAGCTCACTGGTCTCTCTTCAAACTTGGATCTGAATGACATTTTATAATTTGTAAAGGCCATATCTTCTCTGAAGAGAAATATTTACAAATAAGGACAATTCTAGATAGGAAGATATATGACTTTTAGAGACAGAAGTGGTATCGCTAGGACACATGTATATGACTTTCTAAAATGACTTGAGGTGACATTAGTACAAAGGTCAAATAAGTTGTAAAAATTGTCTTTCTAGCTAAACTTGAGCAGCGTTCACTTTAAATAGTCAGGCTTTTTTGGGACCTGTTTGAAGACTGACTGAGGTAAGAGCTAGAAAAGGATACAGCGCAATGTCGACCATTCAGATGGTGTTTCTGGCTTAGCACTGGTTTTATGACCAGTACTATAATGGTGGATACGTATCATTGCATTTTATCCTCTCACATTCCCACTTGTAACTTTTTTTTTTTTGGAGAGGTTTTTGCTATAGGGCATGTGCGCTCGCCAGACAGAGAGAGACAGAGAGACAGAAAGTGAGAAATCGCCCCCCAGGGACGATGGCCACGCCGCAATCCCTTCTCCTCCATTCTCCTCTCAGGATCTTGGGCACACACCCACACGCGCCCGGCGTGAGTTTAAGCCGCTGGGTCCGGGACGCGAACCACGGTCGACTACGTGGGAGTCCAACGACATAGCCATTATACTAACTGCTGGTCCCCCACTTGTAACTTTTTTAAAAAAAGAATCATTTTATTCAACTTTATCTATTTATTTACTTACTTTTTAAATTTGACCAGAGAGGGAGAGGGAGGGGAGGGGAGAGGGAGAAGGAGAGAGAGAAAGAGAGAGAGAGAAAGTAGAGAACAAATCACTAGGTCTGGGACTTGAATCACAGTCTGCCATGTGGGAGTCCAGCACCCTTTAACCACCACGCCACCTGCCAGCCCCCCAACTTGTAACATTTTATACAAGTGTCTTGATTAGTCATTTTAAGGAAAGTGCCATTGTGGCATATATAATTCTGCCATGTGATGGTATGAAGCACTTATTTTTGGATGTAATTCATAGTATTCTATAAAGATTTTAATTAGCACTGATGTGCATCCATTTGAACATTCTTGTAGTAGTGCTATCTCTTTTCAAGGTTAATTATAGTTAAGAGGTTGAACTGCTTGACAGCTTTTTAAAAATTAATAATCTTCACTCAACAGTTGTAGATTTATAGAAAAATGAGTAGCAATTACAGTCATTTTCCACGTACTCCCTCACCTCACCCCCAGTTTCCTTTAATATAAATCTGTGGAATTAGTGTAGTACATTTGTTACAATTGATGATCGAATTTGATTATTACTTTTTGTAAGAGAAATTTTTGCTATAGGTTGCATGCACTCACCAGAGAGACAGAAAGTGAGAAATCACCCCTCAGGGGGATGGCCATGCCTCCATCCCTTCTCCTCCATTCTCCTCTTGGGATTTTTGGCAGGCAGGAAACACGCCTGGCATGTCCGGGACTCAAAGCATGGTCGACTATGTGGGAGTCCAGCAATGTAACCATTATGCCAACTGTTTGTCCCATGATTATTATTATTAAATCTAGTTTATACCAGGGTTTACTCTTTGTGCTATATAGTCTATGAGTTTTGAAAAATATATGACATGTGTATACCGCTATATTACCCAGTACAATAGTCTTGCTTACTTAAAAGTCCTGTACTTCACCTATGTATTCTCTCTTCACCTAAGTTCTCACCCTGTGGCAACCACAGATCTTTTATTTGTCTGCCTAATTTTGCCTTTTCCAGACTGTCATATAATTGGAATTCTATAGTATTAGCCTTCATAGATTGACTTTTTTCACTTAGCAGTACACATGATAGCTTTTTTTTTTTAACCTGGGTGCTTATTAAAGGACTTTTAAGGTTTTAAGTCTCATTTTTAAATTCATTAAATGTAAATGTATTATACAAAACACTAAAAATTATATTAATATCTAAGATCTAAAATGTAACAGCAAAAACAGTTAAAAAGTCCACAATAAGTTAAAAATTTCCCCATTTTACCCATTATATTCTTTTTCATTATTTTTTTTTTCTAGGAGTAAAAGTGGGATGGTTTGCCTTTAGCTGAGGGTGTATTTCTTGGCTCCCACCATTTCTCCCTGTAGCACTAGCTGCACTTCTATGGGGATATTTAATTGTCTTGAAACAGGCCTGACTGAAGATCTGGGAGTTGAAGGAGCAGAAAATACACTATTTCACATATAATATTGCTTTGAGATTCCCTGAAACTATTGTATATTCTTACTGCAGATAAGTGAAGAAAACAAATGCCCGATCCTAAACGCAAGCTAAGAAGGAAAAAGAGGAAGAAGAAGTCAAAGAACTTGACATGGAGCTCCAGCAACGTCGAACCCAGGTGATGTGATTAGATCCAGATTGCATCATGTCCCACTGAGGTCTGTAGTAAAACATGATGTATTATCTTCCTTCCTTCCTTCCTTCCTTCCTTCCTTCCTTCTTTCCTTTCTTCCTTCCTTTCTTCTTTTCTTTCTTTCTTTTGAGAGGTTTTTGCTATAGGGCATGTGCACATGCCAGAAAGACAGAGACAGACAGACAGACAGACAGACAGAAGCAAGAAATCACCCGCCCCCAGGAGGGATGGTCATACCGCAATCCTTTGTCCTCCATTCTCCTCTTGGGATCTTGGACATGCATGCACATACGCCCGTTATGAGTTTAAGCCACCAGGTCCGGGACTCAAACCACGGTTGACTACATGGGGGTCCAGCGAGATAGCCATTATGCCAACTACTGGTCCCTGTATTATCTTTTTTAGATGGATAGAAGATCTGACTAGAAGAAATCTTTCTGACAAATTCACATTTTAGTTTAACTCTATAGACTTGATTTTCCACAATAAACTATTTGCAAAACCAGAAAAGATTCATGCATTTTTTTCTTTTTTTGGAGAGGATTTTGCTATAGGGCACATGCGCTCGTCAGATAGACAGAGAGAGACAGAGAGACAGAAAGCAAGAAATCACCCCCCAGGGGGGATGGCCACGCTGCAATCCCTTCTCCTCTATTCTCCTCTCGGGATCTTGGGCACACACGCACTCGCGCCCGGCGTGAGTTTAAGCCACCGGGTCCGGGACTCAAACTGCAGTCGACTATGTGGGAGTCCAGTGACATAGCCATTACGCTAACTGCTGGTCCCACACATTTGTTTCTTCAAGTGCTGTGGATGTTTAATTTATTTGGTAAATAAATCAAATTTATTTTTGAGAAAAAAATAATGATTCTGTGAATAATTGGGTTTATTGTATTAGTTTTCTCTTTCTTAATTTTTCAAAATAAGGGCCCATGTATTCTCCAGAGAGAAACAGAGGGAAGGAGAGAAGAAGAAACTACCTCCAATGGGGCAAGGTCATACCACAATCCCTTCTCTTTCATTTCTCCATTCTTTTGAAATTTTGGACATGCATAGACACTGGTTTAGTGTGTTTTTCAAGCTGCCAGGCTGGGATTTGAACTATGGTTGGCCATGTAGAATCCAAGTCCCTTAATTACAACACTGCACAGGCAACCCCACACTTAAATAAGTGTCCTAAGTAGTTTACACTTCAGAACGGATTAATTACTCTCCTCCAGACAGTTTATGCCTGGAAGGAATATGAAGAAAGTGAAGGTTATGTCTACACATAGTGAATGCTCACTTGGTGTTGCTTGAATTGCCCTGTTTTCACCATCCTATGGAAAATTAGGTCAGAAATTGCAGTTACCACCAAATGACCCCATGCGGTGGTCATCTCTTAGCCTCACTCTGCTTCACTCTATCTAGAATATTTGATCATTTATTTACAATAACACTTTCATTTTTTTCTACCCTCTTCCTTCTCTTTTCACACCTCTGAAAAGCCAATTTCTTTTCACCCTCCAATGGGGTATTCCTTAAGGTTCTGTCCTCAGCTGGTGACAGATGGTTTGCATTTATGAGGAGGTAGTCTGCTACAACAGAAGGGGAAGTGACTTAAGTGTGAGAACTCCATTCAAATCCTAATCATTTTTCTCATAAACTTTGTGACCTTTAACCAGTTACATAGACTTTTGGAGTGTCAATTTTCTCATCTATAAGTAGTCACTTGAAACTTCTTGTTCTACCTACATTACAGGGTTATAATGAGGACAAGATGGATAATAGATATAAAAGCGCTGATATGCATAGTGCTGTGCAAATGGAGGTCGGTCTTTCTTTCTTTCTTTCTTTCTTTCTTTCTTTCTTTCTTTCTTTTTTTTTGAGAGGTTTTTGCTATAGGGCGCATGCACTTGCCAGAAAGACAGAGAGAGACAGAGAGACAGAAAGTGAGAAATCACCCCTGGGGGGCATGGCCACACCGCAATCCCTTCTCCAGTCTCCTCTCAGGATCTTGGGCACACATGTACATGTGCCTGGCATGAGTTTAAGCCACCGGGTCCAGGAATCAAACCGTGGTTGACTACATGGGCGTCCAGCTACATAGACATTATGCCAACTGCTGTTCCCCGTCTTTATTAATTATTGGTTTTAATATACATCTGGATCACTGACACTATGAGACAGAGTCTTTATAGGACTATTTGACCACTAAGGGAATCAAGTCTATTACTGGGTATCAATTATCCATATTTGGACCATTCTGCCCAACTAGAACCTACTAGAATAATATTTTTACATGTGTTTATCATGAAATCTAATTTTTCATTATGTTAGACTTGTATTTTATAAGGTCTTTTAAGAGGATGCCAACTTTCCTGGCATTAGAATGTTGGCAGGAGTGGGCCAATAGGTAGCATGGTGGTTAAGGCACTAGATCACACATGGACAGATGTGTGGTTTGAATCGTGGACCCGGAAGACTGAAAACCATGCTGGTTCTTTGTGTGTGCATGCCCCAAATCCCAAGAGGAGAGTGGAAGAGAAGGGTTTGCAGAGTGCCCATCCTCCCTGGTGAGTGACTTTTCATTTCTTCTCTCTCTCTGTCTCTCTCCAGAGAGTGCACATGTCCTATAGCAAAATATCTAAAAAAAAGAAACCCCAAACACAAACCCCAAATCAAGACAATGTTGGCAGAAATATGATATGCATCACAGGGGCAGCAGGTGGTGTGGTGGTTAAGGTGCTGGACTTCCGCATGGCTGACCATGGTTTGGGTCCTGGACCTGGTGGCTTGCTTTCTCACTTTCCTTTTCTCTTTGTCGCCTTCTCTCTCTCTGGTCAAATTAAAAGACAATAATAATAAAAAATAAATAAAATAAACAATTCTTTAAAAAAGTATTTTACTTAATTTTTATTTATTCATCATTGACTTTCATTTGACGAGAGAGAGAGAGAGAGAGGGAGAGAGAGAGAATGAGAAAGCAAGTCACTAGGTCCAGGACTTGAACCGTGGTTGGCCATGTGGGAGTGTCCAACGCTTAACCACCATGCCACCTGCTGGTCCCAATTCATAATTCTTTTTTTTTTCTTCTTTTTTCAGAGAGGTTTTTGCTATAGGGCGCGTGTGCTCGCAAGACAGACAGAGAGAGACAGAGAGACAGAAAGCGAGAAATCACCCCCCAGGGGGGATGGCCACGCTGCAATCCCTTCTCCTCCATTCTCCTCTTGGGATCTTGGGCACGCACGCACACACACCTGGTGTGAGTTTAAGCCACCGGGTCCGGGACTCAAACCACGGTCGACTACGTGGGAGTCCAGCAACATAGCCATTACGCTAACTACTGGTCCACTCTTTTTTTTTTATGTAAAGGGAGTATACATTGCATAGAGGTCAAAATGCTTATCAATGGGGTCAGCAGTTGGTATGGTGGTTAAGGCACTGGACTCTCACATGGCCGACTGCAGTTCAAATCTCAGACCCAGTGGCTTGGAAATCAAGCCAGCCATGTGTCCATGTGTTCCTAATATCCCAAGAAGATGATAAGCAGAAGGGATTGCAGCATGGTCATCCCATCTGGGCTGTGATTTCTCGCATTCCCGCTCTCTGTCTCTCTCTGGTAAGTGCATATGTCCTATGGCAAAAACCTAAAAAAAAAAAAAAAAGCTTATCAATATTCATGGAAGTCTTTTGTGTGTAGAGATTAAAAGTCCTGGGGCCTAACAGGAGAACAGAAGGGAAGAGATTGTAGAATGGCCATCCACCGAGGGACTGATATCTCACTTTACCTCTCTCTGTCTCTCTGCAGATGTGCACGCGCTGTATGGCAAAAAAAAAAAAAAGCTCTTTGAATGTTGACAAATTAATAATAAGTACATAATATCTAAAAAAAAAAAAACCCCAGGTCTATTTTTATGTATTCTGAGTTGCAAATTTTATTGCAAGCATTTTAATGTTTGATTGTTTATATTAACAGGAACGTGGACCCTCAGAGTACTCATGATTTTCAGTCTCCCTTAGACATCATTCGCAGACAGATGGAGGGCCATCCCTACCATCATCTCTACCAGCGCCACCTTTACCCAGAGGAATTGCTCCTTATCCTCCAACTTGTTTACTTGGAATGAATGGTAAATCTTCACCACCACTTCTACCTTTTTTTGAGGCCCTCCTTCTCCAGTAACATTATTTACTGTAACTTATGAAATGGAATGGAGAAAAAATAAATATATAATGCTGAACTCCATGTATTGCTTTTTTAAAATTTTAATTTACACTTAATCATTGTACATCTTTACAATGTACGTGATTTTTCTCAGCATGAATACAGTGCATATTAGTAAAGTCAAAGACATTACTGTACACATTATCATCAGCAGATATGTTTTGATTTTTGTGTCTATTTGATGTGCTGTTTATTTTTTACCTGAACCCCACCCGCCCACCTCCTATTACCCGTCCCCACACTATCTCTGGTATCTCTAGTTGTCTTCCCTCCTATTATACCTTCCAATCTTTCAGTTTCTGCTAGAGAGCACAGACATTCAATACATATTAAGCAGAGACATACAATGCCTGTTCTTCATAGTCTGGCTTGCTTCTCTTAGCATTAACTCTTTCATGTTCATCTACTTTACTTTATATCAACTGTCAGGGTCTCTCTCTTTTTTTTTAATGGCTGAGTAGTATTCTATAGAATACATGTGTCACTTTTTTTTTTTTTCAATCCACTTATCTGTTCCTGGACATTTGGGTTCAGTTCATATCCTACTAACTATAAATAATGCTTTAATAAACAAAGATGTGCAAATGTTTTTCAGACTGGGGGTTTTCCTATCCTCTGGCTAGGTACCTAAGGGATGAATTACTGGATGGTATGGTAGTTTTATTTGTAAGTTTCTGAGGAAACTCTACTCTAAATTGTTCTCCACAGTGGTTGTATTACTTTACATTCCCAACAACAGTGTTGGAGGGCTTTTCACCATAGCCTCACCTAGCACTTTTTATTCTGTATTTTTAAAATTTTAGCCATTCTGACTGGTGTTAAGTGGTATCATTGTGGTTTTGATGTGAAAATACCTTATGATAAGAGAAGTTGGATATATTTTCATATGCTTTTTGTCTATTCCTATGTTTTTCTTGGAGAGTTATCTGTTCAGCTCATTTGCCCATCTTTTGATTGGATTGATTTCTTTTGGGGGGGGGAGGGCAAGCTACTTGAATTTCCTGTATAGTCTGGTTATCAGTCCCTTATTTGAAACATAGTTTGCAAATATATTTTCCCATTCTGAGGGCTAATTACTCACTTTAATTATTCTTTTTTAAAAAAGAATTATTTTATTGGGACCAGCAGTTAGTGTAATGGCTATATCGCTGAACTCCCATGTAGCCGACCATGGCTCTCAACCCAGATACTAACAGCACAGCATATGCCTCCGCCACACTGGGGGTCCTTGTCGCAGGTCCTGGTGATCACCGTGGCGTCCCCCCTGTTTTATTTTTCTGCAGGTGGATATCCAGTTTTCTCAGCACCATTTCAGTAGGAAAAGCACTCGCACATCAATGTTTATTGCAGCATTATTATTATTATTTTATTTTTATAGAGGCTATTTTGCTATAGGGCACGTGCGCTCACCAGACAGAGAGAGACAGAGAGACAGAAAGCGAGAAATCACCCCCCAGGGAGGATGGTCACGCCGCAATCCCTTCTCCTCCATTCTCCTCTCGGGATCTTGGGCACGCATGCACACACGCCCAGTGTGAGTTTTAAGCCACCAGGTCCGGGACGCGAACCGCGGTCAAGTACACGGGAGTCCAACGACATAGCCATTATGCTAACTGCTGGTCCCTATTGCAGCGTTTTTCACAATTGCTAAGACATGGAACCAAACCAAATGTCCACAAACAGATGAATGGCTTAAAAAAGTGTGGCACATGTACTCTAT